AATACTACTTTGGTTATCAAGATACAGTTTGCATATTCAGGAAGTAGGGTCAAGGAAATTTAGATATTGAAAGTTTATGATTATTTAATATTGTTAAAGATTTGTTTGTTTCTTCGTTTGTTTTATTTTACGCTTTTTTTCAACAGTATTTCAGTCATATAGGCGGGTTGTTTCCTAACCATCGTTCCTGGAGAGTTACACCAGTACTAGACTACCTTCCTCCGCGCTAAACTACCAAAGCATCTCCCGGGGATCGAACCCACTTCAGAAAGGTAACTGGATTAGAAGTCATCGACTCTAACCCCACGGAGGCGGTTAAAGAAAGGCTATAAAATCAAAGGCAACTATTAAGTAGATAAGTTGAAGCATGCTGTCAGTTTCATAACCAATATATTTTAAAGTGTTTTACACGAGACTGCAAAGTAAATATAGTATTATATCATCTAATGCTCCGAGGTAATTATATTGAAGCTTGAATTTCATTGAAAACAAAGATATTGAGAAAAAAATGTTTTTCTTTTATTCTATTTCTGTTTAATGTTACACAACTTTACATCTGGTAAACAATTTTGACTTTTGATTATGATGATGATTGATGGAGTCTTCGTACGGTCTATTGATATCAAATGAAATGTGAAAAACCAAATAAACCTCTAAATAGCTAAGTTAGTAACATAAGTTCTTGGTAAATTTCAAATACAGTTTATATTGATTTTAAAGGATTAAATTTGTAATACGAAAAAGAAACTGTGATCAATCAAAATACATTAATTTAGAAAAGTTGCATATAAAAACTGACATTTCTCGTTAGGTCTGTTTTTGTTTAGATTATATCTTTGCACACAAATTATTTAAAAAAAATACGCTCGAAAATATATAAGGAAGTATGAATATTTCAGTAAATGAGGTCAATGATTTTTGCTTATCATTTTTATCTTTTGTTTATTTGGATGGTTTACGGCGCACTAACACAGTTTAGGTCATAACGAACAATCAATATTGATGATGTTGGCTTACCCCGAGTGTTACAATCTTCTAAGCAACGTCAGGGGTCAATTTGTCTAGTAGATAATACATGTATATTAAAAAATGAATTAGACTGTAAATCAACAGTTTCTAGATTTTGTATTTTTTTTTCAATTTTGTTGTCAGTGCTTTCCAGCCGTTTTTTTTATGTTTTTCATATACGTATATTAATTTTTCTCCTGCAAAATAAAACAACACATCCTTAGTGTCTTTGCATAAATTTTAATCACTATTAAATATAAGCCTTAGGAATCAAAAATAATGAATTATTTTTTTTTCTCAAGAAAAAACTTTAACGACATGTTGAGAACTTACGATAAAATATATGACCAATTTGATAACATTCGGACATTTATTTAACAACAAGGAAGTGGTTGATCAAATTTTGTTTAAATCCTTGTAAATAAATTACATGTTTGATACGAAATTAATTTTCATGATAGATATTTACAATACGTCCAAGCGAAAAACAATGAGGCCATGTCTTGTATGTTTACTTCGGGAAATACGTTAAAATGCCATTTATTTCATGTTTATGTATTCTTCCTCTCCTGTTTTGAATTACTGAAATATCTTAATTTTTTTTTTGTTTGGATTTTTACGGCACGTCAACACATAACTGGCCATATCGTGCCGAATGCTATAATAGGCTTAAAATATTATGTAAAACATTGTAAATGACAATAGAAATGAGCCAATTAGATCCTAGAATACAAGTTTATCTCTTTTAAATAATCAATTATGTTTTTTGATGGAATTGTATTAAAAAGTTCTTTGAGTGAATTTACAGAATAAAATCTATTACGGGCCTGTGACAAATCATGACATTCAAGAAGAAAATGCTTGACAGTAAAATTTTCATTACAACCTACACAGAAAGGGGCATTGTCATTTGTGAGGAGATAAGAAGGGGTAATTTTAGTGTGTCCAATTCGGCATCGAAGAAGAACTGTTTGATCACGGCGGTTTGACAGAGATAGAGATGGTGACATATCAAGAGATGGGTTTATATCGTGAAGTTTATTAAAAACGGCATTGTCCCAATTTGCTTTCCATTCAGATGATACGAGTTTATTTATAGCCGGTCTAAAATCACAAGCAGGTAACAATAAGTCAGTTTTTTGAAAATTTAATGATTGTTTAGCTAAAGCATCTACTTTTTTCATTTCCTCGTATTCCTACATGGCTTGGAATCCAATATAATTTAACATATTTTGTTTTTAGTATATCATGAAATCGTAAAAGAAGTTTCTTTACCATGATATTGTCAGATTTTTTATTTTTAATGGATATTAAACCTAAATTTAATTGATACATAAAACAACACGCAACTGGTATTATTTTAGTAGTTATAGTTAAGCGCTCTTGAATGTAACGAATTCAAATTCAAATATCTAAAATGACTAATCATTGCATTTTATTTCTTTTCCATTCTCTTTGTAAGTAGTTTATAAATGTTGTAACAGCTGTCTTTCAAAGGTCATTGCAGTTTGTTAAAGCAATGATAATGTCATTGTCCAGTCGCAATTTTTGCTTTAAGAATTCACCAAATTCAACAAAATAGAAGTTATATAATAAATTGCAAATAATATTGTGTTATTTCTTGAAAAAAAAGAACATTCACTTGCATAAAACAGAATTTGTTTGTTTCTCACTATTTAGCGCAGCGAAATTGGTAAGTATTTCTACAATAAGTAAAGTTATCTTTACAATGTTTATACATATAATGAGTGTATTAAGCATCGTGCATTTGCCTTTTTAGTAATAGGTATAACTTTACATTGAATTTAGAATACAAGACTGATAGATAGAGAACTCAATGATATATTTACCCATTACATTAGAATAATGTAGTCTGAGTCACCAAAAGCCGACATATTTATTCACTTTTCATTTTTAATAATTTCTTTCACTTAAAGTTTTATTTTCGTTAAATAATTGTGTTCTACATATAAACAATGACGAATAAAAAAATAAAAGAATATTTCGTAAAAATAAGGAAAGTATTATCATTTATTCGATGGCCGCCATTTCTTGGCACATGATATGCAAGTCATATCCCAGTAGCAAAGCCTAATATATCCGGTGCGAGTAGTTTGGCAATTACCGGGAATTTATGCAGCATTACCTATTAATAAAACCGCTTTTTATAGACAATTTAACTAATTGTACAAAAAACGTATGTACTACTTGAAAATCTTTACATGTTTGTTTGCTTTGTTATGTTTGTTTAATTTAAGAACTATATTTACTGGGTTACAATAAATGTAACCTGAATATTAGTTGAAGTAGAATCTGAGTATAATGATAACTGAAGCGGAAAAAATCACATTTAGCTAAAAGCCAACAAATGCATGGAAAATACATTTACATATCATCATCTGAAGTTTTCAAGAATCGATATAGTCGTGTGACGGGTTACCACGTTATTTATGATAAAAAAATAATATATAATTCATAATTATTCAATTTATTTGAATATGACATCATGGTTCTTCTGTTACAAACAAAAACAATTAATCGGTCCGCTACAGAGTAATTTACGATACTATGCTTGCTTGTGCAGACCTTATAACAATCAGTCATAATTCAATACTGAATTTGTATGAGTTTATTATGTTCAAAGCAAAATGTTTTGAACATTTAAAATAAATGGAAGAATATTAATACAATTGTTGATTAGCTTTTCATGACGTTCAGTCTGTTATGTATGCATTAAAGTTAACATATTTATTCAACCATCGAAATTTACATCGTTTAAACCGTTAGCTTAAGTGTTAAATAATTGATGTGCTCAAACGAATGCAGCGCATTTATTGACTCTGTTTCGTTGAAAGTTTTTGTAAAGAATAACATCGGTGCGTGTACTTAATATTTTAATGTTGTCGAACATAACAGTGCATTAAGCAAGAACACCGCAAGCTTGAAGACAGTTTCAGCGACTGATACTCAAAAATGAAAACTTTTCGTAACAGAAAAATTGCGAAAGGAATGAATGCTTCCTTTTTTGCTTTTGTATGGCTTACATGTGCATTTGCCGATGATTGTTCGAAATCATTTCAAATTAAGAAGGAATTCTTCAATAAACGTCTAAATGGACACTCAATCGTAGAAATAAATGTTCAAAATCAACATACGAGGGGTTATCCAAAAATTCGTGGACTTTTTAAATATATCTTGAACGTCACTGTAATGACATTTTATCAGAATACCTTGTAGAATATTATAAATACCTTTTGAAAGGAACAGGAAACTGCGTCAATAAATGATTATTTTATATTGCTTTAAAATAAGCACATACACGGCACCCGGCGCACGGTAGAAAAGCGGAGTAAGTCATCGTATATTTCTTGCTAAAAAACTAAAAAAATAAGGTAGAAAACCCACTGAACATCACATGTTTGTTTTATAATGTCATTTAAGTAATTCTGTAAAATAATGGACTTCATTTCCGTTTATTTTTGTTGATATCGCTAGAAACGCCAGACGCCTTTATTGTTTACAACGGAAAAATGACGGACACGCGGTAATTAGAAAATCGCGCGATCATAAAACGATTAAAATTTTTGTTGTAATCTGGGAATGGCACCTACAAAAAAATTTGATAAAAATCAGCAGATGAACAGAGAAAAGAAAATTTCATGATCATAAGTGTTAAAGTGACATAAGAAATTTAGTTATGGACATTACTTTGAGAAGCAGTAACCGTCATAGACTGCGTAACGTTGAAGCACAAGTTGTACGTTAATATTATGACGTTGACGTCAATTATTTTTTGGAGTGCGCCGCTGTCGCCAACATGTGTTTATGTAAAATTAAATATTGTTGTAATATAAGAAGCTACTCACATGAATTTTTCTGTGTTTATTTGTTATTAATTCTTCTAAGCAGTGTAAGAATTTCAAATTAATATCTCAAATATATTTTACGCAACAAAGAAAGTCCACGAATTTTTGGATAACCCCTCGTATGTGTGTTCGTGAATGCATTTACATATCAATGTGTAAAAGTATGGATTATTTCCATGGTACGTGTAAACTCAACGACGCCGACAGCAAAAATGTCCATCTCGGAGAATTTCAAGTTAAGCCTGGTGCGATTTTCTCTGACGTTTCAGACTGGTCATTGGTAAGAATATTTTTAGAAATATAATCTGCACTTTTGCGCTAAACGCTTTTCACTTTAAGTGTTGTTATATTTATTTTTCTGGTCCTACTTGGTTATTGATTCTAGCACATTCAAGTACCACTCAGCCGGTGTCAGGGAGCAATTTTCATGTAAGTTTGTTGTGACTGATGCTTCCGACGGATCACCCTTTTTCTGGTCCTTCATGGTTATTGATTCTAACACTTTCAAGTACCACTCAGCCGGTGTCAAGGAGCAATTTTCATGTAATTTTGTTGTGACTGGTGCTTCCAACGGATCATCCTTTTTCCTGGTTTTATCCCGTATAGTACCTGTTTTGGATGAAATATTGGCTTGAGTATTGCTTATATCATGCTTATTAAACTTGATACAAATACATAAATCTCAACAAACTTCAATATGTTGTTCTACATATGCTGCATTAATCACCTAACAATGCAGAGATAGTTTAAATAAATATCTCCTCCGATCTTATATTACAAAAAATGTAACATGTTTCTAATTTGCTAAAAGTTTAACTAACATAATACAAGTATGTATGAGCATTGTTTAACAACTAGTTGGACTGATGTTCTACTGTTCACATATTTTTAATTTACGTATACAATTTTGAAATAAACAATTATCGGAACATGGCCTCGATATACAGTGAAAAGAAACAAATCAACTGAAGATTGATTAATGTTCATTATTGTCTAACAATATTGACCAGGCTCTTGCATTTGACCCTATAGTCGGAAAATTCCGTAAACGTTACGATTGACTTGTAAATCGATATGAATGTATATTACCAGTTGTTAAACTGTCTAAATTAAGATTTCCACTTATAGAGGATATTGAATGAGTGTAAGTTCAATACTGAATTTATTGCACGAGTTGAATAAAATTATATTATGCGAGCCTCAGGCGAGCATAATATTATTTTATTCAACGAGTGCAATAAATTCAGTAATGAACCTACACGACTTTAATATTCTATTTATCACATACCCAAAATAAAGACCGTTTAAAGTGAAATATGAGTCATTTTTCATTGACGTGCCTATAGTATAACGCTAACATACACTATGTTTGTTTAACGCTAATGACGTCACGTCAAAATATATGCACGGCCGTGCAATACCATATTTACGGAGTCGCAACATCAGCACGGGTGTGTGCTAAAACGTCTTTCATTTCAAGAATAAAGAGATAAATTCGTAGGTTCGAATCCTGGTTCAGCCACTTTTATTTTTCTTATTTTGCAATGCCATTCCCTTAAAACTCGTGTGCGTGTGTATGTGTGTCTTCATTACGTGAGGTTGGTTAGGAATTGAACCAGAGACCTTCAGATTATTTAGCTCGGCATCTTTACCAATACACTACAACCCAATGACGCGAGAGGTAAACAAATATCATATTGCCGTTAGATACCAATGATCTTTACAAAATTTAATGCCAGATCAATATTGTTTGACAAAAGAAAACGCATTTTTTTATTTATTTTTACGTTTGTATTACTCTTTCAATGATTCAATCAAAATCATGATATTTTTATCTGAGTTCTCGAAGGTCCTCCAGCTTTCAGATATTTCTATGTTCACAACAGCAAATGTTCTGTGATAAGCTCCATGTCGAGAATCAGTAGATTCTCAACTTCAACATTATTACTTACTTTCAGACGTTGCGTAGCTATGGGACGTAGACGGTAGCTTGCACTTACATCTGTAGTCCAGCAACAGACTCCATTACTCATTTATCATTTTGTCATTTCAAACGTTCTAAAAGGTTTCTTTTGTTTCCAGATTTTTCTATCTAAAGTATTGGGTGAAAAAAAATGTTGTCTAATACTTTATTTGTCTGTAAACCTTACGAACTCATTGATATAAGCATGTTTGGTTACAAATTTAAACGGTACATCAGACCAGTGCTTTGTACGTTCGAAACTGATAGACTGTGCATTTTCCATTAGCTTTCTTGATCAGACTTTATCATGTTGTGTGTTATTTCCTGGTATCTACTTTTGTTCCCTTGCTTTTCAAGAGAATAATTATCATAGCTTGAAAAGAGAACGTCTGCAATTTTCAATTAATATTAAAGGCTGATTATGCCTTAACAATGCTGCCATTTTTATTTCTCAAAACGATTTTATTTTTTGTTAACTCTTACAATTTTCAACAAATACCTATTGCCATATGATTTGATTATCTTTTGTTTCCTCTGCTGTGTTGGCAATTTGTAAAATAAAATTGAATAAGTGCAAAATATGTATTTCAAAATAAAAATCTAAATTATTAAAAATTAAAGCATAATAAACACATCTTTGTCATTTCAAAGTATAAAACATATGGATTTCTTAGGCATAATTTGCTTTTTACTTTATTTTTCAAAACATTAAGCAGTGAATACAAACTTTATATAAAATGTATCTCCATATTTGAGCAGTTGTTTGCCGGAGCGTGTAGTCAGCGGCCATGTTCAGAGTCACAGAAATGTATTCCCGTCAACGGCGGCTACAAATGCGAGGAACTAGGTATTTGAAATAATTATTTAAAAAAAAATATACATTAACTTGACTACGTTAAAATAACAATCTAAAAAAATAATTGGTAAATGACAAGTCAAAACAAAGAATCAAATTTAATGTTTGAATTTTTTGTACATGTAGTTTTATAAATCAAATATTCAGTTAAAAGTGTTTTGTATTTACGATATATAAAAGTGAACCTGTATGATTACATACTCCTTATTGTAAATATACTAAAATTCTAAGTACAAAAAGTGGACAACATAATGCGTAAACGTTTGTCCTATAATTAAAATTTGCATTATAATATTGACAACTGTCATCAAAAATCGCATTAACGAGGATTGAATAACTTATTATGATTACACCAATCATTAGGACAATAGTGATGATATTTTTCGTTTATTTAGCAATAACAGACTGTAGTGATGTACGACGTTATTTCCCTTCTGCAATTAGCGGGCAACATAAAATAAGGCTATGGCAGTCACATGAGTTATTGACAGTTGTCTGTGATATGGAGACGGAAGGTGGTGGATGGACGGTAAGAGAATGATCATAGCTTGTGTAAAAGAAATTATATTACAAATAATGAAGACTAGGCCAACACTAAGAACAGAAGAAAAAGAGAGAAACATGTACCCCCTTATTAGTCATTAAGAGCATTTGATTTATATAAATAGCTTCAATGAGTTTTAAATGGCGTATCGTCTGCTTAGTGCATTCACTGATTAACTACTATTAAAAATAGAAGGACTTATTCCGTTACTGCACTAAGGTGACGGTATATATTTCTTTGAATATATCAGATATATCCATTCTTACATTAATACATAACAGTTTTAGTGTTAGTATTGTGTTGCAGTTGTGAAATATTGCATTTAAAATCCTCTCTTTATGTACTTTTGTATTCCAATGTTTGGATTTTGTGTTACACATCGTCTTGTGACATCATTAGCATGCTTTGTTTTTGTAGGTACTTCAATCACGATATGATGGTTCCATAGACTTTTATAAGGAATCAACGGAGTATGTAAATGGATTTGGTAATAAGAACACAGAATTTTGGCTAGGTACGGTAATCCGTTCCTGTGTTATGCTTTACTGACAGCGGTCTTTGTCGAAGCATGCATTAATTGATTGGCGCTCTTCTTTGTTGATTATTGATCGTTTTTGTGTGCGATAGTATTTATGGTAGCTTGTGAAGGACAATATCTCTTGTTAATTTTGCTCATATTCTTTTTAGCTCACCTGAGCACGAAGTGCTCAAAGGTGAGCTTTTGTCATCACTCTGCGTCCGTCGTGCGTCGTGCGTCGTGCGTCCTTCAAAAAATGGCGTCAAACTTTTCAAACAACATCTCCTCCTAAACTACATGGCCAATTGCAACCAAACTTTACAGAAATGATCCTTAGGTAGACCCCTTTCAAAGTTGTTCAAAAATTTAAATTCCATTAAAAACTCTGGTTGCCATGGCAACCAATAAGAAAAACTTAAAAAATCTTCTTCTAAAAAACCGTAAGAGCTAGAGCTTAGATATTTGGCATGAAACATCTTCTAATGAGTGCCTACCAAGTTTGTTCAAATCAAAGCCCTAGGGTCAAAATTGGCCCCGCCCCCAGGGGTCATTGATTTTCCCTATATGCATATAGTAAAAACTTAAAAAATCTTCTTTTAAAGAACTCAAAGAGCTAGAGCTAAGATATTTAGCATGAAACATGTTCTAATGGGTGTCTACCAAGTTTGTTCAAATAAAAGCCCTGGGGTCAAAATTGGCTCCGCCCCGGGGGTCATTGATTTTCCTTATATGTGTATAGCAAAAACTTAAAAAATCTTCTTTAAAAAAACCCAAATAGCTGGAGTTTAGCTATTAAGCATGAAACATCTTCTAGTGAGTGTCTACAAAGTTTGTTCAAATCAAAGCCCTGGGGTCAAAATTGGCCCCGCCCCGGGGGTCATTGATTTTCCTTATATGACTGTGTATAGCAAAAACTTAAAAATCTTCTTTGAAAAAACCCAGATAGCTAGTGTTTAGATATAAAGCATGAAACATCTTCTAGTGAGTGTCTACCAAGTTTGTTCAAATAAAAGCCCTAGGGTCAAAATTGGCCCCGCCCCAGGGTGTCTTTGATTTTCCCTATATGCATATAGTTAAAACTTAAAAAATCTTCTTTTAAAGAACCCAAAGAGCTAGAGCTAAGATATTTAGCATGAAACATCTTCTATGAGTGTCTACAAAGTTTGTTCAAATAAAAGCCCTAGGGTCAAAATTGGCCCCGCCCCCAGGGGTCATTGATTTTCCCTATGTGCATATAGTAAAAACTTAAAAAAATCTTCTTTTAAAGAACTCAAAGAGCTAGAGCTAAGATATTTAGCATGAAACATGTTCTCATGGGTGTCTACCAAATTTGTTCAAATAAAAGCCCTGGGGTCAAAATTGGCCCCGCCCCGGGGGTCATTCATTAGCTTGACTTTTTTTTTTTTAGATATATACATAGATATAAGAGAAACCGGTTGGCAAATAATTAAATAAGTTAACTCATGGACTGTGTTTTTTTGTTTTATTTATATATATATATATATATATATATATATATATATATATATATATATAAATATATATATATATATATATATATATATATATAAATGTATATAGATATATATATATACATATATATATACATATTATGTATATATATATATATATATATATATATATATATATATATATATATATAATATATATATATATATGTATGTATATATATATATATATATATATATATATATATATATATGTATGTATGTATGTATATATATATATATATATATATATATATATATATATATATATATATATATATATATTATATATATATATATACATATATATACATACATATATATATATATATATATATATATATATATATATATATATATATATATATATATATATATATATATATGCATACATATACAACCAAGTTTGTTCAAATAAAAGCCCTGGGGTTTAAACTGGCCCCGCTCCAGGGGCCTATATACAGGTGAGCGACTTTGGGCCATCATGGCCCTCTTGTTAAACATTGTATTCATAAACGTATTCATAAACGTAAAGATATTATTTTTTCCTTGTAACATCCTGGTAAAAACATTAAAGCTCCATTATTTCACTATAATTAAATAAATTATATTTTTCATCACAGACATAACAGATAGGACAGACATGTTGGTTAAAATCAATATAGAAATTTATAATTTTGCTATAAAAGCAACTGATTTACTTAAATCTCAGGTCTGAAATATTTACATGAAATGACGTCTCAAGGAAAGAATGAATTGAGGGTTGACTTAACGACTGCTGATGGAACTACCATGCATGAAACATTCAGGAACTTTAAAATTGACGCCGGTCCAGAGTACACCATTCATTTCGATCCTGGATTTGGAACTGCGGGTAAGATATGTAACTCAAATACTTTTTACTTCAGTGTAATTTTTGTGTTTATATTTATATAAATTATGTTGAAAAACGTTGCCTATTGATTGAAATACATTTTTGCATTAATTACGATTCATTTAATTTAAAACAAAAAACGGAGCCGGAGTTAATCGATGTAAAGAATGATACAAATGCATTTTTTGTAATTACGTGAAGCTTTACGTGCATTGTTACAAATCCATTTAGTCTATATAGAAATGCTTCTGAAGTATAAATGTATTTGAGGAAAGTGAATCACTTGTTCATTGAATTTGTAATTAAGATATCGCTTTTTACTGATATATAATTTCCATTGAAAGTTAATATACGTGTTACATTTTTATAATCATTTCTAGTTGTCTTTTAATCTAATAAAAACAATGCCCTTATTAACACCATGTCACCAAAAGACTGAATTGCTTCATCTACTCATTTGCAATTCAACTGAAGACACGAAACCTTGGTTTGGTTTCGTTTTTACCTTTACGTCGTGTCTTTTAATTAATTTTCATCCTAAACTACCATGTAGGTTTCTTTCATTGCCTATTTTATAATGACGTTCCGTCCGTATTTTACCTCACCTGTCACAAAGTGACAGGGTGAGCTTTTGTGATCGCTTTTCGTCCGGCGTCCGTCCGTCCGTCGTCCGTCCGTCCGTAAACTTTTACTTTAAATGACATCTCCTCATAAACCACTGAGCCAATTTCATCCAAACTTCACAGGAATGTTCCTTTGGTGGTCACCTTTAAAAATTGTTCAAAGAATTTATTTCCATGCAGAACTCTGGTTGCCATGGCAACCGAAAGAAAAACTTTAAATATCTTCTTTTAAAAATTATGAGAGCTAGAGCTTAGATATTTGGCATGAAACATCTTCTAGGAGTGTCTACCAAGTTTGTTCAAATAAAAGCCCTGGGGGCAAATAAGGCCCCGCCCCAGGGGGTCATTGATTTTCCCTATATGCAAATAGTAAAAACTTAAAAAATCTTCTTTTAAAGAACTCAAAGAGCTAGAGCTAAGATATTTAGCATGAAACATGTTCTAATGGGTGTCTACCAAGTGTGTTCAAATAAAAGCCCTGGGGTCAAAATTGGCTCCGCCCCGGGGGTCATTAATTTTCCCTATATGTTTATAGTAAAAACTTAAAAAATCTTCTTGTAAAGAACCCAAAGAGCTAGAGCTAAGATATTTAGCATGAAACATCTTCTAGTGAGTGTCTACCGAGTTTGTTCAAATAAAAGCTCTGGGGTTAAATTTGGCCCCGCCCCAGGGGGGTCATTGAATTTCCCTATATGCAAATAGTAAAAACTTAAAGATTCTTCTTTTAAAGAACTCAAAGAGCTAGAGCTAAGATATTTAGCATGAAACATGTTCTAATGGGTGTCTACCAAGTGTGTTCAAATAAAAGCCCTGTGGTCAAAATTGGTCCCGCCCCGGGGGTCATTGATTTTCCTTATATGTGTATAGCAAAAACTTAAAAATCTTCTTTGAAAAAACCAAAATAGCTAGAGTTTAGATATTAAGCATGAAACATCTTCTAGTTAGTGTCTACAAAGTTTGTTCAAATAAAAGCGCTGGGGTCAATACTGGCCCTGCCCCAGGCTGTCATTGTTTTTAACTATATGTGTATAGTAAAAACTTAAAAAATCTTCTTTTAAAAAAACCAATGAGCTAGATCTTAGATGTTTAACATGAAATATCTTCTTATGGGTGTCCACCAAGTTTGTTCAAATAAAAACCCTTGGGTTAAAATTGGCCCTGCCGGTGGGGGTGGAGGGGTGTTGCGGAGAGATCATTGTTTTTTCATTTTATGTGTGTAGTTAAAACTTAACATCATGAAACATCTTCTAATGGGTGTCTTCCAAGTTTGTTCAAATAAAAGCCCTGGGTTTAAACTGGCCCCGCTCCAGGGGCCTATATACAGGTGAGCGACCTCAGGGCCATCATGGCCCTCTTGTTTTTTGTTCGTGTGCCCAGTCCTGTTTTGTGTCCTGCTGCCCTCTTTGCCGGTGATCCTGTGTTGGGGAATGCGTTCATATGCGCTCATTGAAAGTTGCCCTTCCTTGTTAATTTTGTTGTTCATATTTAAAATAGAATCATGGTTGTTTATCTAACTAATTGATTTCAGATTAGTTTATAAATGTTACTAATTTGTATTTCAACCTATAGATGATGGGTATTCCAACTACGGTATGTCATACCATAATGGTATGCATTTTACCACAGTAGACGAGGACAGAGATAATGATGAAAAAAACTGCGCCGTTCATTGTCATGGTGCTTGGTGGTATAACGCTTGTGGCGGCGTGAACCTCAACGGACAGTACGTTACTCCAGGGACTGTTCATCCCCTTGGTCACTGGCTTGGAGTGATTTATAAAGCATTTAGTAAACAATCTCTGAAAGAAACAAAAATGATGTTCCGGCGAGGTATTATAAACGATTCATAACTTGAAAACCGGGACAGGTTTTTTTTTATTACAGCCTTTATTAGCCACAGGCCTTTATTAGGCAGTATTGTGCATTTGTCTAAAGAGTAATATATTTTCTGAGAATAAAACAAAAATATTAAAGCAGAATTTAAAGCTGTAGCAAGCGGCTGCTGATTTTATTTTACGGACATATTTTCCGTTAAGATTTTCAATTAATATTTTTCTTAAAGTAACATTATGCCCATTCAAGTGTAAATGCTCTATGAGCTGGAAAAAGGGACATCATACGTACTGATTTGAAACTTTTTTTTTTATAAAAATAGTGGGAGAGTCTTTTTATATTTTGGGCAATTTTATATCTTATCGTAATTATTTGTCATTATCTATTATTTGTAAAAAAGGAGCATGATGTAATTTTTTTAAAGAATACACTTTAATTTATCACTTGACTAGATGTTTCAGAAGATACTTGATAATTTATGTTTCGTTTATTTCTGAATGCTAAGTGTGGTAATATCAATTGAAAACAGTTTCCGGAGCATAACTTATATTCCATTTGGCCCACAATAATCAAACTTCATAGGATGATTGTACATATTGTGTAGAAGACCCCTATTGATTTTAGGAGTAATTATTTTATAATTTAATTTATTTCCTTTCAAACATCTTTGTCAGTTTCAATGATCTTTTTAACTTCATTGAGCTATTTATAACAAAGTATTGTATGTACTTAGCCCGTGTATCCTCCCCTCTTCTTTCGTGCTGCTTGCCGTTGGTCTTCTGTTGCTAGTTTCTGTTTAAAGATGCATTCATTGAATGTAACCCGTTTTTTGTTGATTTTTGTTTAAATATTTTAAACTTGAAATAGAAAAAAAAAGAATGCCCAGAGAAAGCCCAAATTTTAAAACACAAATATTTGTATGAGTGTTTTGAGCAAGTAAGAATGATACTGTATCAAAAATTAGTGGATTTATGTAATGATGATACCAACTGAGTGATAATTGACCGCAAAATATTTTGCATGAACTTCAAAGTATTGCATTAGACAGGCAATAAAATAAATAGAATAATTACAAAATGTATGTCTTAATGCTCATTTGTAGAACTACTTCAATGTATGAACTAATGTTTTCTAAATTTATCTATCAGATCTTTTTTGTTTTATTTTCGTAAATTTTAGGCTCATTGAACACTATTCTAAAATAATTTAAAATAAAATATGTAAATGGATATGGTAATGACTTTATTCACTTTGGCCGATACTTCTTATAGTATTTACTTTGTCTAATACATGTACTTAAGCCTTCACGATTTTTATAAAGCTTCATTAATTTTTGTTTATATTACAATTTTAAAGGTAAATGAACAACAACTTTCAAGTCTAAAAACACAATTTTAATGGCTCCAAGTAGAATTGTAAAGGGTAGCCATCTAATTATCAATTTCACAGCAAAACACATGGCTTTTATATCTTAATGTGTGTACCTATATATAGACTCAATGATTGTGATTGTGAAGATATTGTTGATAACTGAAATAGTGTTATAACATAATGACTTTGTAAGTTCAATTTAATGTCTCTGGTAAAAACAAATCTTTTTTTTGAAGATAATTGGAACAGAAAAGGTCGCATTGTAAAGTATTTTAATTTTATGTGGTTTTTGAAACTTCAGAATATAACTCTTGACTATGATATTCCCAGGCATTGCAGTTATGTCCTTTTGAATTGTTACTATGAACAAGATTAGTACTTAGGCATCTGTCTTTTCTAAGCTACTTAGTCCGAAAAATGCATTAACGTATTAAATATATTTATGTCCTTAATGTCATTAGTAAGGATAAAACCATTACTCACGCTTATCACAGGAGATCTTGTAAACTCTCTTTCTATGTAGGTGTGAAATGTCTAAGGTAACATGATATCATTCTTCTTATTCCTATCTAAAGTTTTTATATCGATTGAAGGACATGCTATTGAAATAGACTGTTTAACAATTGAAAGTATTCATCTGATTTAAATCCGGGAAATAAATCTCAAGATTTCGACGAGTAAATGTATTATACACCAAATGTGTTCATTACTTTCCTTGACTTTGAGATATACGGAAATGTTATTCTCCTGGGGAATTTAATATTCAAAATCAATTGAATATCATTTGCTAAAATAGACAAGTGAAGATTATAATGACGTTTTTAAAATGTTAAGCATCATATTCAGTATCAAATTTTCTTTAAAGAATTATATGACCTAGTATATAAGGATCGCACTTTAAGTGTACACAGTCGTTAAAGTATGATTTGTGTGCAATGATTTCTGAATTATACTACTTTTCTTACTATTAACAAATAAACACATTACCTCAAAATCAAGCATTAGCAGTATATTAACAAAAATAACATTAGTATTTCATGAAAGAAATATAAAACTGAAATAAAAGTATAGTTTAATGAAAGAAATACAACACTATCTTAAGATTCTAGATGGAACTTAATCATTGCTTATTGAGCAAAGACATTAACATGAATGAAAAATAATCATTCGTATTATTACAATCTTGAACTGAGGGTATCATCAGCTTTATCGGACTTATTTTATCACGATTTACAAAATATATTAAGCATATCAACTACATGTATTAAACTTATTAATTCTAGTATGTAGCAGATACACGGTTGCCAAGTTTTTAACAAAAAGATGATAAGCATGCTATTTCTTACCTTCTAAAGTTATCCACCATTCAAATGTCTGTGAATATACAAGGAATGTACAACTGGAATTGAACTTTTTTAAATTCGAACTAATGTTGCTTATAATTATTTCACAATATTGACAAAAACTGTCTAGCACTTACCTTGCAATATATTTTAGTGCACAAATATGCTTGTTTTGGAGCATACGCCGCTTTTCGTGGAATGACATGTACGAGTTACATTGAAAGGTCCGTGATCATAACCGTATGAACCCATCTGCGGATGATTCTAAGAATTCTGTTTTAAATAAACACTACGTTCATGTTTAAATGTTGTGGTCCACTTATGCCCGTGCAAGACATGTAGTCAAACATATTACATTTATTATTAAGGTCATTGGACATACTCAATCAATCAAGCTGAGTATGGAAATTTTTCAGTCCTGCCACTTTGGTTCTTAGAGGTTTCAATTGTACATAGTTTATGCCATTATTGTTTACAGTTGTTGTTGTGAGTGTTTTTCATAGTTGTTTATAACACGTACAAAGAAATACCAATTTGCTTCTAGCCTGTTATTTTGTGGCATCGTCTTGTGCGTTTTCCCCATGTGCCCTGTCCTGTTTGGTGTCCTTAAATAAAAATTAAATAACACCCTTCCTTGTTGAATTTCTTGTTCATATTTGATCCATAGAATTGATAACATTATTCAATTTTATAAAGTTACATTTTTCTCTGGCTCATAAAATGATTAAAAGATCCTTTCCAACTTGTAGAATTTTCATCTTTCATAGAGAAAAAAGCAACGCAGTTCAAGACAGAACAATTTGGAATAAATAAGACTTTTAAAATAAATAAGACTTTATTTGAAGAATAAAACCATTGATGGATACAATAGTGTTTGTCACTTGTAGACTTGGTTTAGGGCCATGCATAGGTCTTTTTCAACAATGGCAAATAATAGTGTAACTTGACCATAGTGTAAAATTCACGAGAGTATATTTTACGTTGCACCTATTTATTCGAATACATGTATAAGCTTAAACAAAGAAGTTTTGCCACCCTCCAGCTCAATAACTTAACTCTTCAGAATGTTATGATTATTATGGCAGTCTTTAAGATACATACATTATGATAGAATGTTTAAAATATTACTTTTTATATCATTATGATTTGACAATGATAATTTAAAAAATGCATTTTTATAACTTTGTTTTATTGATATTATACTTGGCATACGTAACATGGTTGTCGGTTTGTTCCCCAAACTTCATCTTTCAAGGAAAACATTTTGTAAGTGAATATTTTCTAGTCACAATGTTTTTGTTTTTATGCAATATTATATTTTTACTTTATCCGTCATTCATCATTAATTTAATTAAAGTTTCAATTCAACTTTAAGTTTTGTCATTTATTTCCTCCTCAAGTCAAATATAACCATCTGAGCTTATGGAGAGATGGGTTCAGAAATCCTCTTTTTAAGCAATGAAGTGATACGCCATTTAAGTGCACCTTCGCATGATTTGGCTGTTAGCCGAGTTCCGAAAGGACAGTCGTTTTTGAAAGTATAAACACCATCAAATTCTTGACTCCCGGAAATTAGCCAAATGATCACCAAAAACCAAAAACATGTAATAGTGGACAGAGAAATTTAATGTAAACGACGTGAAAAATAAAGTGATGTCTCTATTGTCAATTATATCTAACCTAAAAATTAAACTTTTATTGATGACACAATGAAAACCGCCATATGAACACATTTGCAGACGTTTCATGTTTCTTAACACAAAATTTCACCATTTTCGTGTGTAAATGTAGAATTCTGCTTAAGCCAGTGCTAGAGGGTGTGGACGGTAACACCGTCTATGAACAGGCTCAATCATGCAACATTATCAATTTGTCCTTTCGGGCGTTAAAAATTAGAGATTCTGTTTTATTTATTTTACATCATTCGGTCGAAAAAGGCTAACCCCGACTGTTACAAACTTAAAGCAACACCAAAGGTCAGAACCACCATAACTGTTGGAGCTAAGAGATCCAAAAGACCATTAAGAAGCCTCACGACCATGCAGGGATAAACGGTGGCTGCAATTCTGATGCCTCAACACATAAAGGCAACCCCTTTTGCCACAAAAGGGTAATGTTTCAGTGATAGGGTAATGATTAAATAAGTTAAAATGATTATATGTCGTTAAAAGAATATTGTTTTTATTATTTCTTATTTTTTTTTTCTTTGTTTTTCTTTCTTGTACTTTACTTCAAAATATATATCTGATAAGGTAATGGATTTTTAAACCATGCATTTCTAAGCAATCATGACTGTTCTTTACAACAAAATTATATTCC